TAATTTTTTTATAAAAGTATTTTTTAGGAAGTAAATCTATATACATAATAATCTCAAATACTAATACAATAAATTGTAGAACAATCAATAATATACAATAAGTAATTAATATTAATATAATAATAGAATGACTTTTAATTGGGGTGTAAAAAACACCTTCAGATAATTGTTTAAAATCGTAAAGAAATGAGGTGACTATTTCTTGGTTAAAAAATCTTATAAAAAAGTTTATTTTTACTGAAATAATTTTAGGAATAATTCGTAAAAAAGAGATTTTAATCAAAGCAAGTTAATCTTCGCGAAACCGAGAGAAAAATCTCACGAATGTCAGATGTTTCATATAATATGACATGACTACGTCCAATTAGAATGCTATTAACCTGAACAGTGAGACCAGGTACGATGCCTCTGCAAACGCCGCAGCCCAGACGGCCTTTCTCGCCAACGAGAATCCGAATTCTGACTTCTGCGCTTGGTACACCGCCTAAACCAGTTTCGTTGTATTGCAGCTGCTGTTGCTGTTGCTGCACCATGTGCCAGGTAACCGGATCGTTTGGATTGCTTTACAAGAATCGTAAGAGATTTTTATAACGAGAGGATATCGATCGTGGAAAGAAGGGGAAACGCACGTACGCATGGTGCGCGCAAGGTTTTAATTAAGTTTCGATACTTACTCTTTTACAGGTATCATCCCAACGCCTGCAATACAAATCGAAAGCCATAAATTACCGCTATCAGCAACGAGATAGAGATTATTGCAACGCGCCGCGAGTATTACTGTTATTAATTATTTTTCCATCCGATCGCTATCTCTACGCGGCACGTGGAATAAAAGTTACATCCGAAAGACGTAACTTATACTTTGCAACAAAGATAATTAAGATAAAGATAGTTACTTCGAATTTTGAGCACCAGGACTTGCTGATTCTTTGCCAGGAGTGCGACCTCCTGGTGGACGGCGTCCTCTACCGGGTAACCGTTCACCCTCAGGATTTGATCGCCTACCTGAAAGCGGCATGCCGAAAGCGAAATGATTAAGCACGACATTGGTTAAAAAATTTGTATTAAATTTGACACTTCAACTTGTTCTAAACGGTCCATTAAAATTTTTGTGTGTCAATTTAATACAAGATGAATATGTTAGAAAGTAACTCTAAACTGGCTCAATTTTCAACTTTTAAAAGATTTCATTCTGTAGAATAAAAAATTCATTTTAAAAGTTTTAGAAAATAAATATTATGTGCAGATTGGTGCAACGAAAGAAGGCAGTGATTAGAAATAAATACCCTCAATCCATTTCTATGAGCCTCGCCACCCGGTTGAACGTCACTGACGTAAAATCCGGCGGCGTATTCGCGTCCACCTCGTAATGAGAAACCAAAGCCGGCATTACCGCGACGCCTCAGTCGTACATTTCTGGTCACGCCGATGACGGCCATCCTGCCGCCTCCTGCCGGGTTCCCAGGACCTCCACCGGTCGACGATCCCGTACCAGCGCTTGACGCGCTGGAGGAGCCACCCGACCTGTCGTAAAAAAGACACATAAATAATATCGTTTTCTGGTACTCTGCTAGCTGAGCATAAAAAAGCTGATGAAAATTGATTTTTTAAGAGCTTTCAACAATTTAAAAGAAATTTCAAGGCTGCGTTATTCTAATTACATGAGTTTCGAAATTAATCTTTTTATAAATTTGAGAATTGAACCGAATGGATTTTATTGTCTTTTTTATAATATTATATTCTCTATATATTATATATTCACTAATTAAATTAATTCATCTATGCTATAATTAAAATAAAAATTTTACTTTTTATATTGTAGTAAAAAATTTAATTAATTTTGCAAAATAAATTTTATTCGTGTAATATCTTTTTTTATTTCGCATATTTTTTATATGTTCAGAAATATCTATGTATAGTTTTGGAATATATTTCTGAAATATTTTCCCTTTTTATTGCATAAGTTGATAAATATTTTCTCGGTTCCGCAGCTACATCCGTCGCTGCAGTACCATCGCGGTTTTATTTGACCTTCGCGAACAATTGTTCTTCTTGCGAAGATCCTCATTTTCTTCCCTCGCTTCGATGAACGAATGAGCGAGCGGATGAATTCCGTATCTTTGTTCGTCCCCCGCCGTTCTTTTTCCATCGCGCTGTGAAATTAATGACCACACCTGGCGCGAGGAAGGAAGGCGAGCTGAGGAAGCGAACGTGGTGGCAAGGTGGAGCCGGTAGGAGTCGCGAAGAATTCCACGCTCGAAGAAGAAAGAGGAAGACGGACGAAGAATGACTTGGACCGAGGCCAAATAGAGACACTCTGCTAATGACGCTGAGAATCCATCTTCGAGGGACATTCAAAAGATTGTACGCGACATGAAGCGGCAACACGGATGCTGTAGGGCACCAGGGGTGACACCGGGTAAATGACAGTCATTAATGGAAAAGGGAGGTTGCTCCAGATTGACTTGAAGGAAGCTGCTCCAGAAAATCTAGTAAGAAGGGTTCTCCTTCTTGTCATTCTAGCCTCATCTACCGTACTCTCTTCGTAAAACAATGGCCGTGAACAATGGTATTCTGATATACATTACCAGTACTGAAAATTTACCCAAGTAGAACGTAAAGCATGGTGTCTGGCTAGTCAAGGATAATTCCAGAACATCCCAGAAAAAATCCTGGTATTTCCAGGATTTATTCATCGATTAATTTTCATTATTTAATTAAATTTTATCGATCCGTGCAATATTATATGTTTTGTACTCAATTCAATGTTAGGATTCTACATGAATGAATTGAAACGCTAACAAATTGGGAACAATATTATTTATTACTTTATAAACAAACATTTCCATTAACACAAACGATTTTTCTATTCTCCTATTTTAGACATTAAATTCAAGTTTCCTATTGATAACTTATTACATCCTTAAGGAAGGATTTGTGCGCAAACACAACTTATCTTTCTATTATTTCTTTTTTTCATGTTCTAACACTTTTCGAATGAGAGAATGATAAATTTCAGACCAGTCCTGAAATTTTAGGGATTTTTCAGAATATACAAAATTCCAGTATAATTCTAGTATAATTCCAGGATTCAAGGATATTCAAAGACCGCTGAATACTACGATAAAGTCATCATAATATCAAAATAATTCAAGTTTTGAAAGAAAAATTATTTAAAAGACAAATATGATCAGATATGAAATCTTACATGATGCTATGTAAAAGTACAAAAATTACAGTTTTACAATTATAATATGACTATATAATATTATAATTAATGTTTTATCAATAAAAATTGAGTGTATTCATTGGTAATAAAACATATGTATAAAAGTTATATAGAAAGATTCAAAAATTTTTCTGGCATCTATAAGTATCATCGATAGTATTTCTTCATCAATAATTATAATTATTTCTTATCATTGAAAGGTATGAAAATTATATTCATTTATACATTAATTAATGTATAATAAACAATTTTCTTTAAAACAAGTCCTGAATAGTTTGAATAACTTAATATTTATCAAAAATATAATTTTTTTTTAAATATTGATATACACACACACACACACACACACACACTTATATATATATGTACTTTGGATCTTAATGTTCAAATGACGTTATCGTAGCCTGTTGCGCTACGTAAGTATAATTTAAGTACTCTCTAACTTCTATGGAGTGGAGTCTCGTTAAAGAGTGAAAATTGAACCAGTCTTGATAAAAAGTGGCTCAATTTTCAAACTTCAAGAGTGAAATTTCACTCTTCAGAGTAAGATTTAGGTACGCTAAAAGTTTTAGAGACTAACTAAGTAACTTGAACTATAGATTTAATCAATACTGGCAATATATATCAAAACACGGCCAATGTCTGGAAAGAACTGGAGCTCCACGTGCTATAATGGCGAGTCTTCAGGTGTTCGTAATGTGAATTTTTGGGGCAAACATAGCCAGGCGTGAGAACCCACATGGAAATCGGAGAGTCGCAGATTGCGCTCGGTCGTGGGATAATAACTATTTTATTTCGCGACATCAGCATCCTCGGAATCTCGCGTTACGTAATAACGGCGTGGGATAACGCAATTTTATTTTAGTGCATTTAATCGTGCTCCTTTTTTTATGTAATGGGATCCCGGGAGGCGTTCGAGCGCACCGCGACGATGGAAACAACTGCGTGTAAAAGTCAAATTGCTACCTCATGCCGGAAGATCTATTATGCAATCGCGACGGGCGAGAGAGGACAATAGATGCACGTGGCGGTGTTCCTCGCGCGTGGGGATTCCGCGACAACGCGCGCGTCCATACGGAAAGACGTATACCGTTACGATCGTCGATATCACCGTTTGACGATCACGCCCTGAAAGTGTTACAGCTAACGCAAACGTCGCGCGTACACACATACACAACTTCCCGATCGTATCCGTCTGCGCTGGCTGACCCGCCCGTGTCACGATCGCGATCGTCGTGATACTCATATGCACGTATTAATCCGGGATTCAATATTCCGCTCACGAACTATGCTAATTCCCGCCTCCTGAGGGTAAAACGTGTCGAAAGAACTAACGGAGGAAATTTCAACGAGGAAGAGAGCGAAATGAAAAATAGGAAAATCGAGAAGACGATCTTTAAACAAAACCATATAGAAGCACAGAAAGAATAGTCCTTTTGCTGAAGGATCTAAAAATTGAGCTAGATATAGATCTGAAAAATATTATGTTGAATCGATCAAATAACTATGGACACTCAAAATGGTTGCTAGAATGTACAAATTTGTTGCAACATTGCTCATCATGATAACGCTTTTTTTTTGCAACATTCATCACGTCATGAGACTGTGGTACTTGAGAACATGTACCTTGGGACACAATTATTTTTTTAATAATAATGAGATTTTTAACTCTCCGCCGGCAACATATAATGATAAAAACTTGGTGTTAAAGCTTTGACAAGTATATCAGAATCATCTTTTCAGATTTTTATATAATTCGGAACAATTAAAAACAATTTTCTGTGTTTCTCGAAAACCCTTATTGTTAATGGAAGAGTTAAAATTCTATGTTACGGAGAATTAATGTTAGCTCACACAAGTTATATTATTTCAGTTGAAAAATATAACTGAAGAGCCAATATTAAAAATCTCATTATTGTTGAAAAAATAATTAGTGTGCCTCAAGGTGCAACATATCCCTGGATAGAGAAGACTACAGTCCTCTCTAGTCACTTATGAAATATTAACCAAGAGATCTCGTTCGAAATGAAGAACTCATTGAATAGCGTTACATTTCTCTCACACCATTATTCTGAGTGTCAGTTACGATACTCTTGGATTCGTCATGTCTGAATTCTGACACGTGTAAAATATAACAGGACACTTGTGAATCACTGATTACGAATTCTGTTTACGTTTTATGTTAATCGGTGTCGAAGGGACGAGCTTGAGTCAAGTCAGAGGTTTGGAGAGCCAGGGCATTCACGTACGAGAAATGCGTTTCGTTTACTTATTATTAAGCTTTGCCTCTCACTGTTTATCACAGTCAATTTTTCTTATTTCCCAAAGTTCGCGCGCCGCGATATTTATTATTGCTATTAAATTTCTGCTCGTGTATCATGATAATAGCATGGTAATAGTGAGACATGAAGGATGCGAGGAACGTCCAGCTCGCCGACAATGCGGAGAAAGTTGATGCAAGGCTGCAAAGAACACGGAAAGGCACGCCCTGACGAGTGTTCTCGTCCTTTCGACTCTCATGACCGTAAGTCTGACTCGTTTCTCGTTGCTCACATATTGTACAAATGGGAAGTAAAAACTAAAGAATCTTTTTAAGATCCAATGAGTATAGTTTCTTTAAAAATGATTATTTAAGAAACAAGAGGTTATTTAACTTTAACTCCCTGAGGTATTCCTGGTTGCGTTTAGAAAATTTAAGTTCAAAGATTAGAAATTTTTATATATTTTACTATAATATATCGTTAATTTAAATATCGTATATTTGGAAATGGCAGAAACGGATATAAAATTACAAAAAGTAAGAGAGAATCTTATTTAAAACATTTTAAAGATTATTATGGCTTTTGAAATTGAAGAAGTTACAGAAATATTTCATTGTCTTTCTATAATGACGCTTTACTTCGGGAATACTCGAGCGAGATATACGTATTGCTATGAGTGTCTTGGTATGCTCGGTATCTAACTTTAGAACTGGTAGCAAGCAGTCGAACCAGAAGTTGACAAATTGTTACCAGACGTGTTTAAAGTACCGCCGGCGATTCGCCTCACGGTCTCTACAACACGGTCTCGTGTATCAGCTTATACGGCTAATCTCTTCAAACGGATTATTGCTGTATGTATAACATGCCGCACGGTAAGAC